ATTAACACAGAGAGACTCTGTATTTGTATATAATGCTGTTGGCCAGGTACTAGTTTCTTATGAGCTAGCTCTGTCTTAATTATTAACCCATTTCTATGTATTTCCACGTGGTCTTACCAGAGAGTGGGGGCCAGCGGTTCTGTTCTCTCCATTCTCTCCATGCTGACTCCTCCTTCCTACTTCCTCTTTCCTCCTTGTCTCCTAGTCCCTCCTCTCTTGCTTTCCTATTGGCTAACAGTGCTTTATTCATTAACCAGTATGAGAAACATATTTACAGAATGACATCTCCCATCAGTACCTTGTAATGGAAACTTAGCTAATGATCCATGGCTAGTGGTATCACGGTTCTAAGAAAGAAGTTACTACTGACACTATACTAAACCTGTATAATTCCTAACTCTGTTCTGAATACCCTTATGCCCACAGATAGGTGTAACTCTCACCATCACCAAAGAAAGCTCCTGTCTGTAGCAAGCAGAGACCATTACAGAGAGTCACAGCAGGTCAAAATGCAAAGAGCAACTGATTGTGGAATGCTGGGCCATAATAGATACACTTACAGGACACAATCCCTACACCTAAGGTTTAGGGAACATCACTGAAGAGGGTCAGTGATAGTGTAAGATCCAGAGTAACAGGGAGTATTCCATGAGATGGAGTCTTCTGGAGGAAAGCTACATTCATGATACTTCAACATGATGGATGCCTAAATAAGGCCTGAACCGTGATAACATGAGTGGATGTGTTAATGTGTAAGAGAGAAATTTCATGGAGTAGCAAACCCTAGCTGTAAGCTTATCTATTTCCTGTGTTCATGTGGATGTAGATGATTTCTTTGGGTTGACATTTTTCTTCTTGTACTCTCTGAGGGCTGGGTTTGTGGATAGGTATTGTTTAATTTGTTTTTGTTTTGTTTTTTTCATGGAATATCTTGTTTCTCCCATCCATGGTTATTAAGCTTTGTTGGATAAAGCAGTCTGGGCTGGCATCAATGGGCCCTTAGTGTCCTCATACTGTCTGACCAGGACTTTCATTGTTTCTGTTGAGAAAACAGCTGTATTTCTGATAGGTATGACTTTATATGTTACCTGGCCTTTCTCCTTTGCAGAACTTAATATTCTTTTTTTTATTCTGTATGTTTATTGTTTTGATTATTATGTGGCAAGGGAACTTTTGTTTTTTGTCTCGTCTATTTGGTGTTCTATAAGCCTCTTGTATTTTCATAGGTATGCCATTTTTTAGGTTGGGAAAGTTTTCTTCTGTGAGTTTGTTGAATATATTTTCTGTGCCTTTGAGGTGGACTTTTCCTCCTCTTCTATCCATATTATTCTTAGGTTCAGTCTTTTCTTGGTGTTCCAGATTTCCTGCATGCTTAGTGTTAAGAATTTGTTGAATTTAGTCTTTTTTTTAAAACTTTTCTTTCTTTCCTTCTTTCCTTCTTTCCTTCCTTCCTTTCCAGGGTTTCTCTGTGGCTTTGGAAGTTGTTCTGGAACTAGCTCTTGTAGACCAGGCTGGTCTCAAACTCACATAGATCCACCTGCCTCTGCCTGTTTCTGCTATTGTATCTTCAATAACTAATTATTATCTTTTCCATCTCTTATATTCTGTTGTTTATGCTTGCACTTGTGGTTCTTAATCATTTACCCAGATTTTCTATTTCCAGAATTGCCTTGTTTTGTGCTTTTTGTATTTCCTCTGTTTTAGATTTCATGTCTTGAATCATTTCCTTCACTTGTTTGATTGCTTTTTCTTGGTTTTCTTTAAGGGATTTGTCAATATCTTCCAATTTTGTGTTTGTCTTTTCTTCCATTTCTTTAAAATAATTTTTCATTTCCTCTTTAAATTCCTCAATCATTCTCATAAAGTTATTTTTATGTCTTTTTCTTCTTCTTTGTCTGTGTTGGGATGTTTAGGTCTTGCTGTTGTAGCACCATAGTGGTGCCATATTGATCTTCATATTGTTGAGTGTGTGATAACCTTGTTGTCTATGCAGCATTTCCTCTAATAGGTATAGGTGGAGCTTGTGCTTCAGTGTGTCTTTCTTTCTCCAATTGATATAGTTGGAGACTATGGCTCCATTGATCAATACTCCAGGCACAAGTAGAGCAGAGCTTCCTGTGAAAGCTCCTCCTGGTGGAAGTGGGACAAATGCTCAGGTGGTTACCCTTTGTGGTGCAGGTAGAGCTACAGCTCCTGAGGATGCTCCTCCTGTTGGAGATAGAAGTGGGGCTGAGGGTCCAGTGGTAGATGTAGTAGTGGGGTATCTCCAACCAAGAAATGGCATTGGATGCTGGCTGGGACACTGGTGCTCTTTCCCAGAGGAATTTTTTGTGAAAGTTTCTGGAAGCTACTGCTGGAAACAACTACTGCTGTTTCACTGGACAATCACTCATTGCTTCTGGGCCTGAAGCTGTGACCTCTCTGACACTGCTCCAGGGTCTGAGGCTTAAACCTCCCTCTGCTGCTCCTGCTCTGGGCCTGAAGCTCTAACCTTCCTGTATTGTTGCTGCTTCAGGCCTGAAACTTAGGCTTATATCTGATTTGAAATTAAATTTAACATAATTCATTATGCTTATGAGAAACCTAAAATAAGTTTGTGATTAAATCTTTTAAAATACATCAAAACACAAAGAAATAATTACCATAAATGTGTTCTTTTGTCAGAATTCCTTTCAGGAACAGAATTTATAGAATTACATATTATAGATAATTATTATATTGGCTATATTACATATATATTTGTTATAGTAGCATATGTTATATATGTATTATATTGGGGATTTATTGTAATGGCACACAGGCTATGGCCCAGCTAGTTCCACAATGGCTATCTACCAAGGGAAGATCCAATAATCCAGTTGTTCAGTCCACAATGTTAATGCTAGATGTCTCAGGTGCTTGTCAGTGTATATTGGAATACCAGAGAAGTTGGCTCTAATGCAAGAAAGAAACAGACTTGCTAGTAAGGATGAGAGCAAGCAGGGAGAGACAGAGGAAAGGAGAGGGAGGGAGAGAGAGAGAGAGAGAGAGAGAGAGAGAGAGAGAGAGAGAGAGAGAGAGAGCTTCATATTCCCACACCCTTCCTGTAAGCTGCCAGCAGGTATGATTCATATTAAAAGTAGATCTGAATTGGAAGTGAGCCTTCCAATTTCAAATGATTTAATTAAGAAAAATATCCCTCAGGTGTATCCAGACTTCATTAATTCTAGATGTAGTCAAGTTGTCACATCTATCATCCTAAAGTGGATTTTTTTTTAACAATTAATTTTTCCTACAGTTTTTCCCCCCCACAGGAGTCCACTTGTTTCTCTTTCAGCTGTGTTTTCACCATTGCCATGCTATAGGCATAACCAAAAATGAAAAAAAGAATATATGCTATACTTACAAATACATGATAGATTTTTTATTGTTTTGAAAGGGAACAGTTTTAAGCAAAAAAAAAAAAAATTGCTGTGCTAGGCAAGTGAATATGCTAACAGAACAAATTTTGAGAACTATGCAGTGATTGTGATTGGAGGAGAATGTGTGCTGTTACAAATCGTAGAGCATCTGGTAGCATGGAGTACAAATGTTATTCAGGTAAATCAACTGTGTTTTAAAGGTTTATGCATGTATATGCAAACATTAGTGTGCAGAATTAAAAATGTCTTTACTTTATCAAGTACATGTATAGGTGTTTATCTCTGTGGTGATGTGTGTGGAGTGTGCAGTGCCCATGTGGGGGCAGAAGAGTGACGCAGACCCCTGAAGTTGGAATTACAGGAGCATATGGCTGCCTGGTGTGGGACTTTGGAAGGGAGCTCTTGTGAAAAAGCAGTATGTTTTCTTAACCGCTGAGGTCTAGTATTAATGTTCCTGCAGTTATAGAGAAAACATAAACTGATGACTTCAATTCAGGTTGTTTTCCTTTGCTTTGTGGTGTGGGACTTTGGCTTTATTTGTTGTTTTGTGGCCTGGTTTCTAGCACTGGAACATGTATATAAGGCTAGTCTACCCCACATATTTGTCTCATTTCTCTCACCCTTTGCTTTCATCCTCTCTAGCAAGAATCCCAAAATTTAATGCTATCTATTGTAAGGAGTAAGGTTTTCCCACCCGCTGCCGGTCTTGGCTTGCCGCTGCGCCAGCCCCAAATAACACAGAGACTCTGTATTTGATATAATGCTGTTTCTCATCGGCTAGCTCGGTCTTAATTATTAACCCATTTCTATATATTTCCACGCGGTCTTATCTTACCGGGGAGAAGCCCGCCGGCGTTCTGCTCTCTCCGTCTTCCATCTTGACTCCTCCTTACTCTACTTCCTCTTTCCTCCTTGACTCCTAGTCCCTCCTATCTTCCTTTCCTATTGGCCAACAGTGCTTTATTCATTAACCAGTATGAGAAACATATTTACAGAATGACATCTCCCATCAATCTATTGCTGTACTCTAGACCCCAACCATTTGTGTGCCCCATGAGCACAATATCACTTGTAATCCTGTGTTAATATATTTGGACACGCTACATAGAGCATATGTCCCAGGAATAGAGATTAATTATTTTACTCTCTTCTTGTCCATGAAGTGAATGTTCCCAGATGAGTTGTCTTCTAGGGATGCCCTTATGTGGTTTCCTGAAGGTCCATATGCAATTCTTTGTGGTGAGAGGGAGGGAGTGCCAATAGATAAGAAAAATAGAATGATAATAATACCATATGGTATTAAAATATACCATTACCATCTTCTTCTGTGTGCATCACCTGGTGTGCTGCTCTTATTTATCTTTAGGATCCCCAACACTGGCTTCTGTTCTGCCTCTCTCATTGTCAGCCCAGCTTCATTAATTCTTATTTTCAGTGTTGTAATCTGTCACTATAAAATATTTTGTGCACAAAGGGTTTTCTGTCTTTATCAATGTTTTTGTTTGTTCTATTTTTTTAAGTGAGTTAATTATACTTATCTTTTAATTCCTTGTATTCTGGTTTCAATTTGCATATTATTGTTTTTTCTTTTATTTTCAGGATAAGCAGAAACTACAAGAGAGTTTACGACAAGGTGCTTCCATCATAGGTGCTTTAGTTAAAGAAAGAAGTTCTGCACTTGCTGGTCAGCTCCTGGTGGCATGAAAAGCACAGACAAAGTCATCTAAAAGCTTCCAAAGACAGGTCCCTAAGGCTTTCTCTTGTACCTGCTTCCCTACCTCAATGTCTCTTCCTTGTGTGTGGTAGAGTATTTTAGTTGTGTTTTTCATCTTGCCACTTATAGAATGTGATGCTTAGGTTTTAAAAATGGGTTTATGTTCTTGTCCATGAAATTATATGTGTCAAATAAAAATGGCTCTGACCATAGAAAGATAGATAAATGAAAAATACCATCTTTATGTAAAGAACCTGTTCACTACTATAAGAAGGTCCAATTGAGATGATAAGGTGAGCTTGTGAAATGTTATTTGGCATCATTTTAAAAAGTCTACTCCTTCTAGATAGTTTCAGAAAAGTTTGTAGAGCTTCATGAAGGTTTAGTTGCTTGTGTCAGTCCCTGGATATGGACTTCTGGAAGCCAGGGCTGCCTGTGTTAGTTACTCTTGATGCAGGAAGTACATGTAGCCTTGCAAAACAAAAATTTTATTCTTCCAATTTCTATTGGCCATACATATTAACTCTTAATATTTCCCTTATGTTGATTTAATAATTATACATACATACAGTCATTTAAATGCATTTTTCTTCTATATATAAATCCATTTTATTGAAATATGTTAAATCAGAATATGCTGGGACTTACATTGCATGAAGAAATTATAAGAGCTGCATGAAATGTGTTTGTTAAAGACTGTCAATAAAAATATCTACTTTCTGAAATATCTCTCATAACGTGTTAACTGAATTCCTCTATATTTTTTTGAGTTTCAATATAACATCAGAGTTATTGTGTTACATTTGAATGGTAGGTGAGATCCCAAGTAAAATATTGTGTCAGAGTTTATATTTCATGTTTAATAATAGAGGGCAGAATGTAATGGGCATGAATTAGTTATTGTAGGTCTTCTAAAATGAAATGGGTTCATTGACTATAAATGTGGATACAAATTAGTGAGCTTATCATTTGTTCTCTGTATTAAGAAATATAAACCAACTAACTCAAATTTACAGAGGTGAAAGTGTAACATGAAAAATAAAAGTATACAGATACAGTTTTGGATTACAAGCTTCAAGCTGAAGATCATAAAAGCAAAGCAGCTGGTCACTAGCTCTTATTCTACCTCTGACTGGAAGTTGACCCTGGCTCTATCAAACATCAGACTAACCCCAGACTTCTATGTTCTCCTCAAGTATGGCTGGAGAATGTATGTCCGATCCTGACTACTGAAGACCCTGCTCCTAAATTTTATACCCATCTAGTTCTAAGATTAAAGGCATGTGATCCCAGATGTTGAGATCATCTTTGTATGAGCTGTTTCTGTCTAGGACTGTATCAATCTTGTGTAGATCTGGATGGCCTTGAACTTACAGAGATCCATTTACCTTTTAATCCTGAGTGCTAGGATTAAAGGTGTGTACCACCACCTCCCAGATCTATGGCTACTGGGATTTAAAGGTGTATATCACCACTGATTTATCTATAAAGCTGGAGTCTGACTTTGCTTTCTGAATTCTCAGTCAAGCTTTAATATCACCACATGAAAATATATAAGAAATGTATGGATTTGGTTAGGACTTATATGTTCCTGTCATGGGGCAGAAAGAAGACTGTAGCAAGGCTTAAAGAGATGGCGAGTGGTTTTAATTCCCTATACCATAACTTGGCACATCTACACATTAGCAAGATTGCTCTATAGAGTGTTGGGTCAGTCAACATAGGTTTTTATTTAGTATAGAGTATTAAGGGGACAGGCATTTACCCAAAGATGCCTCTCTTGCATTGTTTACATGATGAACCATTTTGCAGAATATTAAAAACTTTACAAATGCATTATTTCCCGGTAAGTCAATGCTTTGAAATTGAAGCAAGTTTCAAAACAAAACAAAATTCTTTACTGACTTTTCCAGTGTCTCCGGCTCAATTGTAAGAAGAGACAGGGCTTCCTTAGGAAGACTGGAATTAATTTAAGCCTTAATATGGCAGTGAATCCTGGCAAGGATATCCAGAGGATATCTCACAGCTAGAGATGTGAGAGGATCCTGTACTGAACACTGAGGAATGGGAAGAGGCAGGAAAGTCAGGAGCAGAGCTTATCCCTGGGTTGATGAGAGTCTCACTATCACCCAACCTTGGAAGGGTGAGGGGAACACAGGGACTTGGTGACTAAGAGATAAGGGTCAGTTATTTTAAGATGTTTGTTTAAAGACCCCGAAGTCACTTTACATTTTTATTACCATTTTGGGAATATAATGACTTTAATAACCTGTCCATTCTAACTTTATCATCCAAAATCCCTTAAAAATACAACTAAACACTGAGTCAAACTGGAATCCAGATGCAGGGAGGGAGGACAAGACCAGGCTACAGAAACCCATAGAGACAGCTGACTTGAACAAGGAGGAGCTAATGGGCCCCCAGACTGATAGCTGGGACACCAGCATTGAACTGACTCATATCCCCTGAACATGGGTTTCAGTTAGAAAACCTGGGCAGTCTAAGGGACCTCAAACAGTGGAACCAAGATGTGTCCCTGGTGCACAAAAGGACTTGGGGAGCATGTTCCCCATGGAAGGATACTCCCTTAACCCATAGGCAGGAGTGAGGGCCTAGACCCTACTCCAAATGACTTGACAGATTTAGATGACCCCTCTAGGAAGGCATCACCCTATACATGGGGGGTGACGATGGGATGGGAGGGTGGTCGGTGGGGATGGGAGGGTAGAAGAGAGGGAGGGAAGGATGGAGCGGCAACTGGGATACATATGAAAAGTAAGAAAAATAAATAAGTAAATAAAAATAGTCATTGTACTGAAAATGTTTCTAGTTGTAGGAAAATTTTGTAAACATTTTAATCCAAATTCATAATACTTAGTTAAAAAAGATTTAAAGTGTTTTATTTTAAACATTCAAAGCTGAGAGATGGGATCATCAATGATTTATATTGCTAAGACTTGTAGTACATTTTACATTAAAATACTCCATTTAAGATGTGACTTATTGCCATGTTCATCACAGCCCCAGAAATGAACCTGATTGGAGAAATGAGGGAATGAAGAAAAGAAAGATCCAGGGGAGATGAGGACATAAGGGAGCAGGAAGCTTGAGTCAGGGGAAGAATAGAGGAGAGCATAAAAGAGATACTGTAATAGAGCAATTATAGATCTAAAAAGAAATCTTACAATAGGGATCTACAAGGATGACTCCAACTAACAATTTAAGCAGTAGTGGAGAGGATACCTTAAATGCCCTTCCCTGATAAAGATATTGATAAATACCTTAAATGTCATCCTAGAGCCTTCATCCAGTAGCTGATGGAAGCAGAAGCAGGCACCTACAGATAAACACTGAGCCGAACTCCTGGAATCCATTTGCAGAGAAGGAGAAGTGATGGACAAAGAGGTCAAGACCAAGCTGGAGAAACATGCAGAAATTGATAACCTTAAGAAGGGGGAGCTCATGTACACCAGTCTGATAGCTGGGAAACCAGCATAACTGACCCAGAGCCTAACTAACATGGGTGTTAGTTAGGAGGACTGGGTAGTCTATGGGGCCTCTGGTACTGGAGCAGTGTGTATCCCTAGTGTATGAATGGACTTTGGAAGCCCATTTCACATAGAGGGATATTCCCTTAGCCCAGACACATGTGGGAGGGAGGCCCTAGGCCCTGCTCCAAATGACATAACAGACTTTGAAGATCCCCCATGGAAGGCCTCACTCTCCCTGGAAAGCAGAAAGGGAATGGGATGGGGATTGGTGGGAAGAGGGGAGGAAGGGAGAGTGAGGGAACTGGGATTGACATGTATACCAAGCTTGTTTTCAATTTATATAAATAATATAAAAAATTTTAATTAAAAAAGAGAGATCCAGATACACACAGATTAATGGTCTAGGATTTCAGATGGAAAAGCCTCAGTGGCCCGGAAACTCAATGTGTTTACTATATGCAGTTGAACAGAGAAGAAGGGTTATTTTATAAAACTGAACAGGGAGATATGGTCATTATATTCTGCTGAATAAGGAAGCAGGTTTAGCTAGGCACAATCTCTGTAGGTGTCTTAGTTAGGTTTTCTATTGCTGTGAGGAGACACTGACCACAGAAACACTTGTAAAAGAAAACAGTTATTGGGGCTGGCTTATAGGTTTAGAGGTTTAGACCATTATCATCTTGGTGGTAGCATGGTGATATGCAGGCTGACATGGTGCTGGAGAAGGAGCTAAGAGTTCTACATCTGGATTGGCAGGTGACAGGAAGAAAGGGAGATACATACCAGGCCTGGCTTGAGCATTTGAAACTCCAAAGTCCACCTCCATTGACACATTTCCTCCAAAAAGGCCACATCTACACCAACTAAGACATACATCCTAATAGGGCCAATCCATAATTACAAAATATTCAAATATATGAGCCTATGGAGGTCATTCCTATTCAAATCTCTGTATTCCATTCCCTGGCCACTATAGGCTTGTAATGTTGTAATGATGCAAAAGATGCATTCAATTCAACTTCAAAAATCCCCATAGTCTATTACAGTCTTAAGCCTGTTTAAAAGTCTAAAGTTCAAAGTCTCTTCTGAGACTCGAGATAGTCTCTTAGCTATAAACCTCTGTAAAATCAAAATAAAAAAGTAATCACAATCACATACTTTCAACATACAATGGTGCATAGAATACATTATGCTTCCAAACAGGAGGAAAGGCAGAAAAGCGAGGAAATAGTGGACTGACACAAGACCTAAAACTTGCCGGGCAAACTTGCATCTCCATGTCTTATGTCAAAGTGTTCTTTAGATCTCCAACTCTTTTCGCTCTCTTGAGCTGATTCCATACCCTGTTAACAGCTCTCTTTGGCATGTATTGCATGATTCTGCCATTGCCAACATCATGGGGTCTCCAAGGCAATCTAGGCTTCACGTTTACAGCTTCACACAATGGCCTCTGTGGACACCATGCAAGGATATCCCTGACACATTCCGGGCCTCAGCAGCCTTTCCTTAGCAACAGGGGGAAAGTTCCTAAACTCATATATCCTTAACTCTAAATCCAGAACCATGTGGCCAAAGCTGCCAAGTTCTGCTGCTTGCTGGGGCTGGAACATGGCCCCCCCATTCAAATACATTTTCATCAGCTTCCTGTTTTCAATGTTTTCCTTCACTCCCTAATCTTAGTTTCCTGGAACTCAATCTATAGACCAAGTTGGTGTTCAACTCAGAGATCCACCGCTCCTGCCTCTGGAGTATAGCATGTGCCACCATACCTGGCTCTCAACTTTTCTTTAGTTGCTTTTCACAAGTTTGAAGCTTAGCTGAGTGTAATGTTGCCCCGGGGTCACTATTCCCTTGGCTCCATTTAGCATTGGGTTTTTATTTATTCTTTTTATCTCCGTGAGTAGTGGTACTC